GCTGGTGCTGCTGGTGATGCTGGTGCTGCTGGTGCTGCTGGTGCTGCTGGTGCTGCTGGTGCTGCTGGTGCTGCTGGTGCTGCTGGTGCTGCTGGTGCTGCTGGTGCTGCTGGTGCTGGTGGTGGTGGTGGTGGTGGTGGTGGTGGTGGTGATGGTGATGGTGTTGTGGTTGGTGTGGTGGTTGTGGTTGTGGTTGTTGTTGTTGTTGTTGTGGTGGTGGTGGTTGGTGGTTGGTGGTTGGTGGTTGGTGGTTGGGTCGTTGGTTGTTGGTTGTTGCTTGTTGGTTGTTGGTTGTTGCTGCTGCTGCTCCATGACTGCCATATTCAGTGCTACATTGACTGCACCACATTCTCTTGATGGTGTTCTTTCACTGTTGGGCTTCACAGTCGTGGCTGTTGGGTCGCGGTTTCAACCCGGCCCGGCTGCTCAAGTCCTCAACTCTGAACTCCAAAGCCCCGATTTCTGATCAGGAGGCACGCTCCTCGACTTCTACCAGAAGCCCTCCTGCACTTGGTGTCTGCGAATCGGAATCTGGCTTCAGGGCGTGTGCGCCTGTATACTGCGCTTGATTGATTTTTGTTCATGTATCATTCCATATCTAACATGAGTTCATCCGTCCTACTATATATTCCGACCGACACGCTCTTATGCAATGTTTGAACAGATAGAGAATCTCATGATGTCGGGAGTACAGAGACATGAGGCCCCGGCTCACAGAATGGCTTTATTAGGACAGATACTTCCAGCATCTAGCAGCAGTACGACCTGACGATAAACATAGTTTTGGGACTTGGTTTCCAGGGCTTCAGTTGTTGAGGGCTTAAGGTGCTAAGTTTTCGGGTATTCAAGCGGGTTGGTATTATTAGTGTCCGTGTCAACGACAAGCAAGAATATCATTCGCCATGATAATAAACATCATAATACATGCACGAGTCAGGTCCAGAAGTTTTGTCGTGCGACTGCACAGGACGGATACGTCGATGTTCATTAATTTGGGTTGGAAGTTTTGTTTAACAATCTCAAACCTGCTGCAAATTCGCATAGGCCAGGAGACTTCCGAACTCAAACGGCCCCACACCCTAATCTCTAGTACTTTCGGGCTTCTCCTGCAGCTCAGGAAGTTCTGGCGCCCCTTCGCGGAAGTGCTCGTCGATATCGAGGACTCCTTGAAGTTCTCGTGGGTCTTGGGGGCTTTGGAGGTTTGGGTTTAGGCTCTCGATCTGGGCTTCCAGGGTTTAATAAGAGAATTGGGGTTTCAAGAGTGCAACAATGGTGGTGGGTTGCAGGCACTCGTGCTTTGCTTGACTTGGGGTGGCGGGTTGAAATCTGAGGGCCAGAACACTCTGAGCATTTAGCATGCCGCGTGACAGGAGAGGGGTGTCTACTTGGACCAGAACTTCCTCAAGCAGCAGATGAAGGCAGATTAGGATGCACCACTCCAGCAAAGCAGAGCCCCGAGTCTAACAGCAGCATATGCTTACGTCTTAACTACCAGCCAGCGTTCCACTCAAACGACCACACATGCAGAGGTTCTTGAAGTCGAGGCTCCCGTGCCTATGATATCCATCAAAGGGGTCTTGATGGAGAAAGGCAAAGCAGCAGCAGCTATGCAGACAGCCTAAACCCCACAAACCCTGAACCCTGAACCCTAAACCGTAAACCCTATAGACCCTACACCCTGAACCCTAAACCCGAAACCCTAAACCCCTAACCCTTAACTTATAAACCCTAAACCCTTAATCCTTAAAACCAAGGGTCCTGGCATCTCCTTGGTAGGGCCCGGTACCTCCTCACTGGTTTGCTCTTGCGTCCCTCTGTGAGGTCTCAGAATTCCCGAGTTTCGTGGGCCCCGGAAGTGTCAGAGAACCCTTGCTTAGGGTTTAGGGTTTAGGGTTTAGGGTTGGGGGTCTAGGGCGGCGGGATTGGGGTTTAGGGTGGAGGGTTCAGGGCTTAAAGTTTAGGGTGGAGGGTTTAGGGGTTGTCTTTGAGTATCGGAACAGAAGCAGTAGCGGCCGTTGCGTGTTCGCCTGTTTTTCTTCCTGCCGTCAGCTTAGTCTTTTGTTCTATGCGCCCTAATAGGATTGCATGATAGCAGCTCTTTCAAGGAACCCCTGAAGGAACCCTAGGCCTACTCTTATACAACCCTAAACCCTGTATTTACTCTCATATAATATATTCTTGCCGGATTGAATACCCTAAACTCTAAACCATAAACCCTACAATCCCTAAGCCCTATATACTCTCATATAAGAAATATTCCTAGCAGTAAATTTGAATCGATCTGCGGCCTTGGAGCCTTGCTCTGCAGGTTGCAGAGAAAGATCGCGAGAAGGCCAGAGCTTTCAGGGCATTCAGGGCTTCGGGGATTTCGGGAACTTTTAGGGTGTTAGTGTTTTAGGGCCTTTAGGGTTTCCGCTATAGGGTTTCAAAGATAGGCATGGCGATGCTGATGTGCAAGAACTCTCACCTACGACTGTGGAGGTGACGCAGGCATGAAGACGAGGACGATGACGCTGATGCTACGTTGTGACGCTGAGGATGATGGCAGCTTTATCCCATAAGAACAGTGGCATGGAACCTTCGTGCGAAGGCGCTGATGGCGTTCAAGTCCTTCTTGCGAGACCAGTGGTCCAGGCCCACTTTGAAGCTTCAGAGTGTTGGTGTCAGGGTTGGAGTTGTCTAAACCAACTTAGGCTCAGGGTAGCTACTGAAGACACTGAAGGATGCCAAAGAGCACAGCGGCCGCCTTTGCTGGACCTCGAGTTTTGAAAACTGACTTGAAGGATTCGATTGCAGGCATTAAAAAGCCCCAACACTGTCCCAGATATAGAAGAATAGAAAACAGTCAGGGCGAGACACGAGCAGGCGCTATCCGGACCGCCCGGAGCTGATGGAAAATGTGGAGTCCCGACACCCAGTCCACGGGGGAGAGATTTCCACTTTAGGCATGCCGGTGGAATGGGTTTTGTATGTCTGTGGGCTTTGGGGGAACTTCCGCCGAGCAGTGCTTGGCCGGGCACTCAAGTTCATGCTTGCTATGCCGGAGCCATCGACCCCGAACCCTACCCTAAGACCTCAAACCCCTTACTTGAGGCCATAAAAGCCCTCAAGCCCCTCGAAAGTAGCCCTAAGGTCAGAACGACTGTAGGCACCGAAGCCTGACAAGCCTTGTTCGCAAAACCCAGGCGCTTCAACAACGCCAGTCCCAAGCAGATGAAGCTCCTTTGCCACGTATTGCGGGGAAGGGAGGGGGGGTGGCGAATATAGGGCCTCTTGATCGGAGAGGGCTTCTACAGGGGTCCTTTACGGTCCTATCTGGGGATGTACTCACTACTCCTGCAGATCTTTGCAGATTGTCGAAGGGTTTGGGGTTTTAGATTTGGGGTGTGGGCTTGTCTAGGTGGACGTCTGTGGTGTTTGTTGGCTTGAACCGGTGGTTGCAAAGTGATTTAAGATGTGAAGAGAACGACGCTTTAAACCTCGGCTAGAAACATCTCCAGACTCCTTAAAGAGCCCTCCAAGGCAGCTGCTCTACGGCAAAGGTGTGCAGGCCTCCTGAAGCAATCAGTTCGCAGATTAAGCAGTATGAGTTTAGGGATGTTTAGGGGTTTAGGGAGCTGCATTCCTTGACTTGAGTGTACGGCGGCTTAGCCTCTTCTCCTGCTCGTGAGAAGTTGCTTCCTGTACGACGCTCACCACGGTGAAGATTCAGTGAATGATCGTTTCTCCTTGGTAGTCTCTGTCTTGTGCCATGCCTGGTCTGATCGAGAGCCAGAGCCATGCCCTAGACCCTAAACCCTCAACACTAATCCCTAGACCGCGATGCCACAGTTGGGAAAAGACGCCGCCCTTAAGCGAATACTCTTCGAAGGCAAGAATTCCCTGGCCGACCTGCAAAAACAGGTTATTATCCCGGATCGGCAGAGTTTTTAGGACTTTAGGGTTTAGTGTTCGGGGTTTGGGGTCTAGGTTTTAGGGCTGTCAGCAGCCATCTAGTCTTTCTTGCCATGTGCCCATGAACCTTTTGACTTCGTCGTCCTTCCAGCAGTCCGACGTTGAGCGCGCTCCTTTCGCCACAGTACAAGATTTAGGGTTTCTGGAAGTTTTGGATTTCGGAGGGTGCTTCGGGGGTCAGATAGGGCCCTATGTAGTGTGGCAAAGAGTGCTAATAGAGGGTTAGGATTTTAGGACGTTTAGCGTTGCACTTGAGTATCACCCACTGCGACTTAATTCATGCTATGGCTTGCTGCGTTTCTGGGAAATCGCGGATCCCTCTGGAGATCTATGCTAGATCACTGCCCGACGACGCAGATGCGGCTGGGCACCATGGGTGTCAGGGATTGCCTGAAGAGTGAATCTTAAGGGGGTTTGGGGTGGTCGGGTTGAGGAAATTATTCACGAGGTACAAGCCACCTGCATTAATGCAGAGGTCTGAACAATCGGTGCTAGTGCTACACCCTTATTTTCAGTCCCGGTATAGCTTCGCTCTGATACACCCCATACCTGTGTGTAATTTTTGTGTTGTTCCGGGCCCTAGGTTACGCTCTTGGCAAAGCAATTCTGCTGCTGATTTGCTTTCGGACAAAAATCAGCAGAGCATTCCTGAGGCTTAAATGCTGGCTTGTCACTGCGTAGTGCTCTCATACCTAGACTCCAAGAAAGGGACGCCATCGTTCGTGTGAAACCCCAAATACACCGTTTCCGTTGCTCACACTCCGAAAGCTTAGAACAGATATAAGGCACTTACAAGACCCCTTGATTGAGGCCCTTCTTAACGCCCGATGCCTGACCCAATGACAACGAACTCGAGAAGCATCTACGACCAACAGCCCCGACTTATTCAACAGATGCTGCTCTGGCCGCCCAGCGCCTCAATAGGATCCAGATAGAGCCATGCATCCTTGCATCACAAAGGCTAAGATAGGACCCCCTCTTCTTCAAGCTATCCATGTTGCTTATCCCTGCAATGATGCAGACAGTGCATCACATTCCTATTGCATTAGCTACTGCCGCTGCCACTGATGCGGTCCTGCTGCTACACTGCTATTGCATTTACGCTGACACTTACGGCCTTGTCACGTTGCCATTTTTGGGGACGTCTTCGTCGTTATCATCGCCGTGAAGATAGCCACCCGAAATCATAAACGTCATCACCATCGTCACCATCCTCATCATCATCATCATCATCATCATCATCAGCATCATCATCATCCTCGTCGTCGTCGTCGTCCTCATCATCATCGTCATCGTCAACACCACCCTCAGCATTTGCGTCATCCTCTTCTTCAGTTTCATCTTCATCAGCAGCATCATCATCAGCAGCATCCGCACCAACACCACCGGCAGCGCCAGCAGCAGCAGCGGCAGCGGCAGCAGCAGCAGCAGCAACAGCAGCAGCCTCAGCCTCAGCCTCAGCCTCAGCCTCAGCCTCAGCCTCATCCGCATCGAATCCTCATCATCCTCATCATCATCATCATCACCACACGCCATCATCATCATCATCATCATCACCATCATCATCATCATCGTTACCATCATCAACAACAACATCATAATCCTCGTCATCTTAGTTGGTAATAGCATATCGTACTGTCACCTTCGCGGTCGCCAGCACACTCTCACCGCCAGCATCATCATCACCACCACCATCATCATCATCCTCACCATGCTGATCCTTCTTGGCTTCTTTTCGTCACCATCTCGGTCGTAGCAGTTGCAGTGGTCTCCGTGCTGGTGCTGGTGCTGGCCATGGTCGCTGCTACCGAATCCGTGGCATGACGGATGCCATCTCCTAAGTCCCTGACGAGGATTCCAAGTGGCTCCTGACAAGTGAAAAATGGTTCGCCAGCGCGGAGGGTTTGGTTTTGAGGGTTTTGCATCTAAGGGTTTCAAGGTTTTGGTTTGTTCAGGTTCCGCCAATGCACTACCCCATGTACACCGTCCATGCAGACGTGTTGCTGAAGATGACGAAGGTCGAGCCACACGAGCAGTTGAAGGCTTTGGGGATCAAGAGAAGGATCGAGAGAACAGCCCATGTAGAGAGTTAGGGTTTAGGCAAATACAAAAGTTGAAGGTTGGAGGGAAAGTCGCAATTTAGAGTTCGCAGAGATTGTGGTCAGTGGTGCCTTCAACTCTAAACCCTTACCTTAACCCTAAACCGGCCTCGGCCACAAACCCTTTTAAAGCCCCCTTGCCTTAAGAGCCCCGAAACGGAAGCAAGTTGGGGAATCTGTCGGTTCAGGTGACGCCTTTCGCTTTAGGATTTAGGGTTCAGGGTTTGGGTTTTAGGATTTATGCCTTAGGGTCAGAATCAGGGCTTACTGTACTATAAATAACGTTAGTCTATACCCGGTCTACAAAGGCTATACCAGAAGGGTTCTTGAAAAGGGTTCTTACTATCAGGTTTCGGTAGAAAGGTTGCAAGAGGGTTTAGGGCCCAGGGTTGAAGGTTTGTAGCCTTCAGAGATGTGGGGCCCCCAAAATACGGTACCCTAATTTTCGAAAATTCCCATGTAAGTTCCAAGAGGTCCGTCGAACCGTCTACTGGTTAGGGCCCAAATGCAGTGATCAGTGTCTTTGCATTCGTTCCCAAGGCGCGGGGCAAGCTCGTGAAGTTTACCGACGACTTGGGGCGAGCAGCTTTCGTGTCGCACCAGTGGCTTACGCAACTACACCCCGATCCCGACTTCAAGCAGATGCGCACCCTGCAGGCAGTAAGGCGAATCCTGCAGAGCTCGGGATCCCTCGGCCTGGATATCGTTACAGAAGCCATGGTGCAAACGGCCAAGCCGCTTCCTTTGAAAGACTTTCAGGCCAATGCATTGTTCTTCTGGTACGATTATTTCTCGTGTCCACAGCTCCCCCACGCGACACTGGTCGTCGAAAAGACATCTTCCACCCAAGCCGATGCTATCAGCAGCATCCCAGCCTATGTAGCCAGGTGCGCGTTTTTCCTTGCGCTTTGTCCGGTTCTCGACTGCACCGCCGAGGACAAGGTGCTCACACCCTAACCCTCAATCCCTAAACTCCCTACACCCTACATCCCGAAATTGGGGATTGGGGAAGTTGGAGTTTAGACGATAGCTCATAAGGCCCCCAAGAAGGTGCTCACAACAGCGACCTGGAGCAGCAGGGGGTGGTGCCGCCTCGAACGAGCTGCTCGGGAGCTGTCGTCAAACAGCAGTTGGATTCTAATTCGAAGCGAAACTCGGCTGTTCAGTGGTAAGTTTCGGGTTGTCGGGTTTAGGGTTTTTTGGGTTCCGGGTTATGGGTTCCTATCACAAAATAAGTAACCTACAAAAGATATATGCTTGTTCTCAGTGGGTGGCCGAACAGCCTAGGAAACGTCCATTGAAGCTGTTGGGACGGCGCTCTCGTTTCCGAGCGGCCCTGTTGGGCAAGGCGACTTCGGCGTTGAGGAGGATCGCCAAAAGCTAGCCCCTGTGATGCGGCGTATCCTTATGCAGAAGCTGGTCTACTGCCTGCGAGTGGGCGACCTGCCTGGATTCCGGCGCCACTTAAACCTCCAAACGGTTCACCTGCGTGGTCTGGAGATCGAGCCAATAGCCGGCGTGCTTCCCAGCTGTGAGGCCCACGGCAATGATGCGGTGGCGGAGTTCCTTCACCAAAACGGCTTGAGGAGGGTCGGCAAGGCAGACAAAGCGGGATGGTGTCCTCTGCACTATGCTGCACTAGCCGGCAACACAGAGGTGCTGAGAGGCTTGCTGGATCAGCGCGCCGACGTGAACCGGCGCACGTCGAAGGATGAGCCAGTGCTAGGCCTTCCCCTTTGGCTATCGGCACTGGATGTGACGGTTCTTTACAAGCACCACGAGGCCACACGGTTGCTTGTCGGGGCAAGAGCTCAGCTTGAGGGCGGAACCGCTTCAGCTGTCCTCGCCGCGGCTTACGCAGACAATCCAGAAGGTATACGGGTGTTATGCTCAGCAGGTGCTAGCCCACTAGCCCGGAACCTTCTGGGTTTCTCCACCTACCAAAATGCAGCAGGCTTCGGAGCCACAGCAGCGTTAGAGCAGCTGGTGATGCACACTCCTCCGGCCGCGCTGGATCTTTCTCGAGCACTCATCTCTGCTGCTGGATTTCGGGGTGGGTCGGCAGGGCTGGTGCAGCGACTGATCGCCCTCCGTGCCGACGTCGACATCCAAACGAATGTGACACGCGACATCGGCACTGTCGGCCGGCTGCTTTTTGCAGCGAAATCGTTCCAGCACCGACTCGGCCGTAAGACTGGCCTGACGGCTCATGCCTATCACTTCCATGGCAGCACGCCGCTGATGCAGGCCATCCAGTCGGCTCAATTTGAGGCCGCTGCAGCTCTGATTCTGGGCTCTTGTTGAGGAATTCAGGTTCAAGTTGCAAGAATAAGGACACCATAATACTTACCGTAGATCCCTATTATGGTCACTTAAACCCTAAATAAACCCTAAACCTAAACCCTATAAACCCCCAAGAAGAACCCAGGATTGCGGCCGGCGCCAGACTGGACCTCCGCAATGGCCGGAACTGGACAGCGGCGGATCTTGCCCTGCACCAGACGATCCCTGACTTTCTGAGGCCTCTTGGTCATAATATAGGGGGCCTACCCATAGGCCCTAAAGTAGTTCTTTCTGGGGCTCATATATAGAATCCTATAAGGTAATCCCAAAAAGGAACTACTTTGGGGCCTATGGGTAATAATTAGAATAGGGTTTTGGCGTATTTTATACTATAGTTATAATACGGAACCCCCACAATAATATTATCTAAGCCTCTTGGTTAGACTTGGTAACAAGTTTAGGGCTTAGGTTTTAGGCTTCTCTGTCATAGGCGGCCAAAACTTTACGTTTTTGTGGGTACTTAAACCCAAGAAGGAATAAAAGTATGATTTCTTTTGCTATCTCAACCATGATCTAGGCTTGGCCTGCAAGGCGACCCGTCGGAGTGCCAACGAGTGTCCTTGCTTGCATTGTCGCGAGACTACATTTCGATGTGATTTTTGCCGGCAACGAACGTTGCCATTTTCACGCTGTGAATTTAACAATTCGCGCGATTTTTGAGGTGACAGAATTTTCTCCAAATTGGGGAGTGGCAGGGCACACTGAATTGTGTCCATGCTTGCTCAGTCGATCGACTACATGTTGCCTTTGATTGCGAGCAGGGTTGTTCCAAAGACGTTTTGAGTTTAAACGTTTAAACTTGTCGGGGGCTTAAACAGTTTAAACAGAGCTCGGATTAAGGTTTATAGGGCTTAAAGGGTTTCGGGTCGAGGGCGCAGGGTTGAGGGCTTTACGGGGTTTAGGCCCTACAGGTTTAGGGCCTTGTGTTCTGACGACATGTCCTTGACAGGATCACTGCTGCCGATGCGGCTTGTAGAGTCTAGGGTTTGGGATTCGGGGTTTCGGGTGTAATTAGGGGTTTGTTAAGACTTCTCGAAGGGTTTTTGGTGGGCTTGATGGGCTCCCACAGCTTCACGTTTCTCTTAATTGGGTAGTTGGGAAGTAAGATTGCGGAAGATCCCTTGGGTCACGTTGGCATGTTGTACATTGTACCGTGCCGTGGTTTGCTTGTTGCCTGGCTGGGCGTCTAAATGCATGGTGAAGGATGACTTGGTATGTCGCGCCATAGCGGTCTAACTAGTTAAACATACTATCCTCTCTCACTCCCTGTAGCTTTTAAGCATTGAATACTATGACTATACCCCGGAAACCGCTCTGGCCCTTAAATCACAGAAGGCCCTCTCCGAAACCAGCCCCGAAAGCCCGAAGCCCTTAAACCCCTCAAACCCAGACACAAAAAATCCGCAAGCATGCCGAAAACAACCAAAAGCCCGAAACCCTGTTCTTGCAGCCTTTGCCTTCGTAGAGTTTTGCCCTGTGTCGTCCATACTGATCGGCTCCCCCCTGACACCTTACGCTAGCCGCTAAGCTCGTGCAGTCGCAAGCCAAGAAGTTCTAAAGCTAAAGCCCTCCTCAATCTTAGCGAATAGGCCTGAGAGTCCTAAGCCTAGGACCTCCGAAGAGTATATCTTTCAGCCAAGAATCCCCAGGAGCCTCTGACCGCAAAGCCTAAAGCCCGAAAGCCTGGACCAAAGGAGCTGTAGGGAGAAAGGATCTTCGCGTGGTTAAAACACCACTCTACAGCTTCACACACTCCAAAGCCCTGAAGCCTGCACTGCTCCTCTGAAGTCCTTTGACAATCCTTTGACATGTGGTGGGCCGAATTCCCCTGAAGGCTCTAAACACTAAGCCATCCGCAAGGCCGTGGGGAAAAATCTGGTTGGTGGCTTCGGGCTCCTGCCGGTGAAGGCGTCTCTCTCTCTCTCTCTATATCTCTCTCTCTCTCTATATAATATATATATATATATATCTATCTATCGATCGATCGATCGATCGATCTATCTATCTATCTATCTATCTATCTATCTCTCGCTCTCTCTCGCTCTCTCTCCCTCTCTCCCGTTTAGGGGAAGTTCGGAGCGCCTCAGCAGAGCTTTCAGAGGAGCGGTTGGTTTGGAGTTCAGGAGGGCTGAGGGTTAAGGCAAGTCCTGCTGACATTCTGAAGGCACACGCTCGATTATGGATTATGATGTTCAGACTTCTGACTGTTCGGCGACGAAGTCGTAGCATTCTGTAGTCGGACTTTGGAGGGGGTAAGGTTGTGCAAGGTCTGATGGGGGGGGGGGGGCTGTGCAACCTTTCTTGTGGGGCTTGTGTAGGGTCCTACAACCATAGTACACGCTTGTATTATGACAAAGGTCCCACAGAGCCCGCTGCCCCCTTCTTCAGGCATTCTCTCAGGCAGTTGGGGAACGCACGGAAGAGGAAGTGGAGCAAGCGGGGCTGTACGATACCGGATACTTGGGCGTTTCCGAGATTAGGGGTACCTTATTTAAGGGTCCTTATAGTAAGGATCCTACTATTTAGGGTACTGTATTAGGGTCCCCTGTTTTCGGAAGCCCTCACTTGTATCCGACTCAGCGGGTGAGAGGAGGCCAGCTCCTCAGGCCTTTTTTCGTGTCGGAGATGTCAGATCCGATAAGGAGGCACTTCGATGTCTCTCAGGTTCAGCACGGCTTCCTTAATGCAGCCATGATTCGTTCCTTCCTGCATCGGGATGATTTGGAGTGCTGTTGCTGGAAGGCAGCCTTCTGTAGGCTGCAAACATCCCAGCACCAGTGCCATATATCCTGCCATTCTTGAAGTGTGCGGGGCCTCTGTCTGTGAATAGGGCTTAGGGTTTTTGGGCCGACATGAGGTACAAGATACGGGTCTGAATAGTTACCTGATCCCCTTATTATAGACCCTATGTATCAACGCTGTAACATATCCTTCGAACCCTACTGTAATGACAGAGGCCGCTCTACGAGGCTCTAACATGCAATGCTCCAAACCTCAAGCCCACATCCTAGCTGTCCTAGCCCACATGTACACCGAACACACCTTCACCCTTTTGCCAGGTTGGCAAATCTGCGGACCGAAGTGGGTTTTGAGGGGACAGAGGGTTCTGGTGACGAGTCCTCCATTTTGTGTCCTGAAGCTCCGGTTTTCGGAAGCTCCCATTTCCAGCCCCCGGACTTTGAAGCCTCAGACTTCTCAGTCACTACGTGTGCCGAGCCCCGCCGTCCGTAACTTCTAAGGAATCCTGGTTTTACATGCACACAAAGACCCCGTTTAGTTGAAACTCAGTGAACTCATGCAGCCTGGATATCTGCTCCACAGCTTTACAGCCACAGCGGCTTCTGGTTCTTTCGGCAGCGGTGCTAGTACCCTAACTCGTTATATATACCCCAAAGCAGACTAGATAGTACTACTGCTGATGAAAAAAGACCTGCATTACCTTAAGGACCCTAAACTATGGGAATGGTGGTCTATTCCTTAAAATAAGGTAATGCCCTAAACCCTAAGGCCCTAAACCCTGATATCCTCCACCGTATCCCATGATCTTCCCCGCGCTGCTCCGCGCATGTTCCGCCATGGGCTTCTTGTAACGCCCCAGGCCCTACATGGAGGTCTCCGAAAGATGGTGGACCCTAGAGTAGTACCCTAAATAGTAGGAGCCTTACTATAAAGGACCCCAAAATCAGGTACCCCTCGTTCTCGGAAACTCCTACATCTTGAAGTCGTGGTTTGCTTTTATTCGGAATGCCCCCCGGGGAGCCCCAGGCCCATGGAAGCCCACACCCTCAGTCCCAGTCCCAGGCCCCAAAACCCCAAACCCTCTTATGTAGGGGCCTCAATAATTACCGATGCTATTTGGGGGAAGGGGGGGGGGGGGTTCCTCATTTTTGATATATAACTGTTGTATAACATATACCGCAAAGCCATATTCTAATTATTAAGGCCCCTACACTAAACTATATTACAGGCCCCAAACCCTGAAAAGGCCCAAAACCTATCCGATCCTATGCAGTCCCGCAGGAAAGCACCGGCCAAGAGGCAGGAAAGTGTGCTCATGCTCCAATGAATATGGATACGCTTCAGGGGTTTAAGGGTTCAGAGTTTGGGCACCTTATAAGCGATGAAGACAATGAGACGATACCTGTATCAGATGCAACCAAAAAAATTAATGAGTACACCGAGGCGGGTTTGAAACGGATCAGCGCCTCCAGTTTAATGAGTCGGGACTAAGTCCCGCATAGCTCTTCAAGAAGGATCGCCTGTCCTCCTATCGTAGAGCGGATCCGTATGTCAAACCAACGACTGCTTTGTCAGGCTCTCGCGATTCTGGCCGGTCCAGCTCCAGAGGTACGCCCGACAAGAAAAGCTAGCCCTCGAAGCCCACCCCATGAATCACGGAAATATTCTTGCTTCTTGAAAAGCAGCAATTAAGAATAGTGGGCTTTGGGTGAGGGGTGCTGCTTTGCAGACGTGGGTCTAGAGGTTTGGAGCCTGGGGTCGTCCATCTTCTCCCATGCCTGGCGGCCTGCACGACGAAGAAACACGTGCAGGGACAAGTGAAGATCTTCGACACATTGGCAGACCCCAAAACGCCTAGAGCCCTAAAGCCCGCAATGCAAGAACATGCGAAAGAATACTGCCTAGTTCAGGCCTCGTTGAAAGGCTGCGTGCGCATATCAGCAGATATGCCAGAAGAGCTCCATGAAGTACGAACACTCAGAAGGAGCATGACCGCAACCGGTGGCGGTCAAGCCGCATGCAGCGAGATGTATTGTCTAGCCAGTAAACACCACAAGCACGAAACCAAACCCTAAACATCCCTAAACCTCAAATATAACCATGAAGCATGTGCCCACCGAGACCCCAAACTCCTAAGCTTTGGCCCCGAAGCGAGCAGAGAACTCCCAAGCTCGCCACAGGAGGGCAGGTCGGGGCCCTCGGATGGTTTAGGGTTTAGTTGCGGTTTTTAAGTGAGGGATTTTCGTGGGGTCTTGTACGCGATGTCTCGTGGTCTGCACAGGCTGCATTGGGCTTTGCTGGGGACTGTGAGGGATTTGTAGCGCTGTGTGGCATAGTGGGGGGTTTCAACACTATCGAGCCCATTGCGACAGATTTTCAGGACTGCCATGATGGGTATATGTAGTGGCCTTGAAACCCTAATCCTAAACCCTAAACCCTAAACCCCTAAACCCCTAAACTGTGCTGCTCTTGCCCATGAAGTCGATGGGCCGGACCCGCCGGTGATGCAGGGCATGTGCGTTTAGGGTTTAGGGTTCAGGGTTTAGGGTTCCCGCTCAAAGGTGTCGCTTGGTACTGGTTTCGGCACGGCTTCGCTCCGCGGGTGCAGGAACTGGCAACCTTCTCGAAGGACATGGGGGTCGTGTGTCGTTGCCATGATTTTGCGGAAAGACACGAAGCGAAAGTGAGCACACTCTAAATTTCGAAGAAGAAGATAGTGATGATGACGATGACGATGAGGAATTATGATGCCCACGCTCTGCTATTACTTCTCCTGGCTATCCTGATTCGTGATTGAGGGTCGAGATCCCCTTCGGCAGCACCAGCACCCTCCTGCTTTCCTAAAAACAGCATGGGTTCTCACTGAGGGCCAACTAGTCAAAATAATATTCTTGTCTCTAGGGAACCTCAGCCCTACTCTTGTAAGACAGCCAGCTGCTTGTGAATGTTTGGAGCTTAAGCCGCGGGATTCGCCGAGCATGATTTGCTTCGACGTCATGGTCTTCCCAGGTTCGAGCGGAGGTCCTATATGTTCTATTGTCTTTCGCTTGAGGAAGCTGGTCCCTACTGTTAGAACAGAATTTTGCAGAATGGTATGGCATATTTGTATGAGTAGGGTTTTGGGGTGTGCTCTATGGTGTAGTCATCTGCCGGAACACTCAGGAGCAGTATTTCTACTACTACTTAAAGGATCATGGGACTTAGTAAGTAGGGTTATAATTTATAATTAGGGTAACTATACTTATAACCCCAATTAAGGGACTTATAACCTTACTTACTAAGTCCCATGATCCTCCAAGTACTAGTAGCTCTTCAGGCCCTTGCAGTTGCACACATGATCGTCCCCTCCAGACAGTGCTGAGGTGTGGGACAGCCGAAACGATCCTCGGACAGGAAGGCGCAGCAAGTCCCAAACCCTCATAACTGGGTTTAGGGTTTAGGGTTTAAAGGTTTAGGGTTTAGGGTTTAGTGCTTAGTAGAAACCCCGACATAGCCCTTCTATATCCCTTTATTAGAAGCCCTTATCTTTACCGACGAGTTTGCGTGGGACATTCTGGGGCTCCGTCGAAAATCCTCGCTGGCAGCAATGCGGAGATCAATACAGTGGCCGCAACATCTGACCGTTAAAATTGAAATCTCAAATCATCTCATTGTTTATAGTGGCTTCCTTATCGTTGCCTGTTGCTGCGACATTGAGGAGTCCCGGCACAGGGCCAGACCGGGCTCAAATCTCGGCTTCACAAAGATTCGAAAGCAGAAGTGAGCGGAAGTGGTAAATTTTGAGAAAAGACGCGCGTCGGCAGATTGTGTGAGACAAGAGGAAGGAAGGTCGTAGCAACGGGTCGCGCAGGCTGTGTCGGGCTCAACCACCACGTGGAAATGGCCTTCGTCAACAAGGAGCCACTAGGGGATTTCGGACTCATTAACGCGGTAGCTGCACGCAAACCTGAAGATTTGGTATCCTTGTTTGCACACACCCTAAACCCTAAACCCTAAACCCAAAAAAAACTTTAGGGCAACGGTTTAGGGCTTAGGGTTCAGACTCGTGTGCCGGGCTTGGGTTTTCTAATTGTGTTCTGGGCTTAGGGGTCGATACTATGATTCAGGGTTTAAGCGGTTTTATAGGTGGAACACCGCATCAATGCCGCTGTCATGTAGCCGTTCCAGAAGCCACCCAATTTAGTACCCGTAGCATCCTCAATATATGGACTCCCCCCAATGTGGACCCTTAATTGTCTTGAAGCTCACCCTCACAGAACCCGCTCGAAGCCCTTCTCTGCGATTACTAGCGGATCGATTTTGCTGAAGTACCACCTGTCGGCAGGCTGTGAGCACCTTTTTGTCGAAGCTCACCAAGGCCACTCGGGTTGGCTAACGCTTCCCAGAGACGTGAAGACCCTTTGGTTGACAAGTACACACTGGTACAAGTGAATTATATTAGGTGCTCTCCACAATCTGAGGTTTGTAGAAACGTTTGTTGTAAAACCTAGGCTTGTACACTGCATATTGCCTAGCTGATGGGTCTGTCAATCCTGCAAACCCCCAGAAGTTGTGTAATGCACTTATAATCTTACAAGGTGTGTTGCTGGAATAAGACGGTGCGCTGCCATGGTACGAGCCTGCAAAAGGCTTTGGAGCGTAGGGTTTGCAGATCATTCTAAGAGATGATAATAAAGGTTTAGTATCGGATTTGGGGGTTCAGCGTTCAAAGAATTAAGGTTTAGCTTCCTTTATATATATATATACATACATACATACATACATATATATATATATATAGATGTCAGAGTTTTGGGTTTGTGATACGATGAGGTTGTAGTGGAGTGTAGCGTAGATGCTATCGGGTTAATCAAGGATTTGCTGGATGGTTTCGGGCATATCATTTATGTTATAGCGGCCTTGGCTTTCTATGATGATAGGGCTTTTGCGCGCGCAGCCCGACATCGTGGACGAGCGTGGCCGCTTGCACACCTCACTGTCGGTGACCCCAGCTGACGAGTCAGAGCCAGATGAGTCATCCTGAGAGCTCAGCGGGTTTAGGGATAGTCTCGAGCTTCCCGCTGGTTCTTGCCTTGAGATCTTGAAGTGGTTACCTCTGCTAATAATAGAATGCTAGCACTACTTCTTGATGTGGTAGCTTTCCAGGACCAGGATCACAGCCATCTGATTTGATTCGCATCTCCGGTACATCCTGCGGCGCTTGTTGACTGTCTTCCGCTCTGTCCCACTTGTCCGTGAACCCACGGCTTTGGCAGCCCCCCAACCCCAAAAAGCAAAAGTCTGACTCCCGACATCCCTAACCTGCAAAGCCTAAAAACCCCCACACCTCGAAGCTTCCGAAGTGGTGGCAGATCCCAAGGAGCTTCTTTTGTCGCACGGGCCGCCTGACCTCGCGGAACCCGAACCTGCCGCCCGCCAAGACTGGGTTGGGGTTAAGGCTTAAGGCTAAGGGACTCGTGTTTGGGATTTGGGTGTTGAGGGCACATGGTAAAGGGTGCAATGGGCTAAGATTTCATCGGAAAAGTTGTGTGTTGGAGACTCATTGCAGGTGCGACACAAGATCTCGGCTTGCATTTCAGATTCGCAGCGGCAATGGTAGGCCACACAGTCTTCCAGACGGGGGGATGTGCAGGGCCGCGCTAGGAAACATTGGGGTTGCTTGATGGTCACGTCTTGGCATGTGGCCCTGAGCTACTCGTAGGGCATTGCTGGGCTGGATCTTCGAAAGCCTATGCTCTCTTATCATTCCAGTGAAGATGTGGCCGACATCTGGTGCCTCAGATGGCGGACTCATCTCTCACTGCTCCTTTGTGAAGGAGTCGGGAATGCGGGAATGATCCGGTGCATGATGTATCTCTTTGCTGTACGAGTCCTTTTCATGGACACTACTGCTTCTAACGCCTGTGCCCAGTTCTAGCCACCCGGGAGTGTCGCCACAGAGTAGTCACGATGGAGCGGTGTGCCTCGCGAAATCAAGGAAGCCTGACCGCTCGAATGTATAGCGTCCATGAAACCGTATGAGCATCGTGCGACAGCCAAAGCTTAGAAAGTTCAAACTGGCAAGCTCATAGTGCACAGCACGAGGCAGCAGATTCCTGCGGTGGACAAGGACCGCTACCAGGCATCCTGGACGGAACCTTTGGTAGTTTATGGTTCAGTCGGGTCAGAACTAGCAGACGAACATGATGAGAAGCATTGTGTCATATACTGTAGCATTATGCTAGTAAACACGCTGCTGCACAGTTTGTCATCGTGCTCGACAGAAACACAGCATCCGAAGTCCTTCGCGGCTTTTTGGGGACTGCGGTAGCCAACCCATGCCGACTCTGCAGATCCGCAACAGCATCATCCCGGAAAGTGGGAAAGTTTTCATCGTGGCAGACTACGGACTCTTCGGTCGCAATTGGGAGCCTAATTGCGTAACTTTGTATGAGACGGTCGAAGCACGACAATGACAGGTGCGACAACTGGCCTAAAGAATCGGCATCATTTTTCACATGTCAGTCTGAAGCCCCAAACGCGGAAAAAATGAACCTCCGTAGCTGAAGCCGAGGGCAGCTAGACCTGCGAGTGCTGGCGCACACTTCCGGCTGCCCCGACCTCATCGGTGCTCTCAAATCAGGCCCCGAAAGTGGCCGAGAGTTTTTGTGAGGGGAGGGGGGATAATATTACGAATGCTAGTACTAGCAATAGTAATGATGATTAACGGCGATAATATAACATGAAAACTAAAGCTGATACTAATCACAATATTAGCAGTACTAATACTAAAATAACAATACAATATAATTTAGACTATAACATATACAAAAATATGTTATAGCTACAATATGTACGGTTCTAAGTGTTTGGGGAGCTTCAGGGGAGTTCTGGTCCCTGTCCGGCTAACAAGAACCGTGTTCAGCATACTCCAAGTTTTAGGGCTTTTAGGGTTTAGGGGTTTAGGGGTTTACGGGTTCGGGAGTTTGGGGTTTAAGGTATTAAGTACAGCACAAGCCCCCCCGATCCTAAAGTGGGTTGAGCCCTCCAACCTGCCCTTTACAAAGCTTGCGGAAGAAAAAGCATCCACGACCTTGCGATCATTAATGTTAGTACCGTAGAACATAATATAATAGAATATTACATTGTGTAAAGTAGTCAAAATATAGTAGAATAGCCCTAAACCCTAAACCCTAAACCAGGGATGGAGATGATTGGTCCCTGCAACCACGGATCCAGACACCAATGGCCCACCCGAAACGAAGAGCTGTGAAGTAGCATGCAATACGTCGAGCACCGAATGGGTCCAGGGTTTAGGGATTTAGGGATTTAGGAGCACCGAATGGGTCTAGGATTTAGGGATTTTGGGATTTAGGGTTTCCTCTGTGGTCACACTCTCTCACTAAAAACATTCATGGACAGCCCTCGCAGGTGCCAAGGCCCCCAAAACCTGGAGGATCATGGGACTTAGTCAGTTAGGTTATAAGTCCCTTAATTGGGGTTATAAATATAGTTACCCTAATTATAACCCTACTTACTAAGTCCCATGATCCTTTAGCCCTAAACCCTAAACCCTAAACCCTAAGTCCCATGTTCCTTTAAGTAAGGCCCCAAAGATTACTGGGGCCTTCCGGGCCTGAACTGCCCTCGGCGCTGGCAAGCCGCCTCAAGCCTCTGAGCCGCGCAGCTCGGGTCCAAGCATGCAGCCCAACTGCAAGGGC